TAACAGAATTCAATCTTATGTCTAGCATACTTCAGGTTTTACAAGTTTGTCTATTCATCTGGTATTTCTTCTCCTCTAAGTGTTTCATAATTGATTCTTTGAGGACCTGTTCCATGATTTTTCCAAGGACTGAGGTGAGGCTGACTGGCCTGTAGTTCCCCAGATCCTCCTTCTTCCCTTTTTTAAAGATGGGCACTACATTAGCCTTTTTCCAGTCATCCGGGACCTCCCCCGGTCGCCATGAGTTTTCAAAGATGATGGCCAATGGCTCCGCAATCACATCCGCCAACTCCTTTAGCACCCTCGGATGCAGCGCATCCGGCCCCACGGATTTGTGCTCATCCAGTTTTTCTAAATAGTCCCGAACCACTTGTTTCTCCACGGAGGGCTGGTCACCTCCTCCCCATATTGTGCTGCCCAGTCCAGCAGTCTGGGAGCTGACCTTGTTTGTGAAGACAGAGGCAAAAAAAGCATTGAGTACATTAGCTTTTTCCACATCCTCTGTCACTAGGTTGCCTCCCTCATTCAGTAAGGGGCCCACACTTTCCTTGACTTTCTTCTTGGCAAGGCACAATTTGTTGTACTTACAAGAGGCGGGAGGGAGAAAAATCAAATTAGTTTTCTATGTGCATAGATTTAGATAGTTTCAAAACTCAGCTATAAGCTGGCCGAACAACCTAGTCATGGTGAGCTGTGCTACCATGTGGGAGATTTTCAAAGGCACAAGTGGCTCTTTGGTGCCTAACTCCCTTCACAAGTCAATGGGAATTAGGTCCCTAAGGACTATTTGTTCCTTTCAAACCCCCGCTTTTGATTCCTTCTTCTGGCCTCTTGCTTCCTAAGCCAACATGTTTATATTTTGAAGGTCAAGTGTCTTGAGCCACTGCAAGTGTACCGCTCTCTTATGGACCTACTACTATATTGAGACAGAACTGTCATGTAAATTCAGTGCTGACTGGACTTTTCTGGAGAAAGAAGTCCTGTAATTAACCACAGAACATGTATAGTAGGGGCAGCAGTGCCAGCTTCCTCACACTGCCCTACCAAGGTGCATCCACCTACAACCAGCAGGGAATCTCTACCCAGATCAGAGGGTATTTCACTTGCCTTATGCATTCAGTCCTCAACCCTTCTATGGAGATTACCAACAGGGGTAGGTCACCCATCACAGTTATCAAAGGACAACTTTCAGTCATTATTGTAAATTGGGGATAATGATACTGAGCTGCTTTGTAAAGCACTTTACACACACACACACACACACACACACACACACACACTTCTGTGAACGATGTTTTCATATTCCAGGCAGGGATATGCCAGGCTTCTACACTTTGGCCCCGATCCTGCAAGGAGATCCAATCTGGTGGATTCAGACAGTTGTCTGGTACCACATTAACTTCAGTAGGGCTTTGTATAAGGACAGGGGTCTTCCCACAGAGCTCAGTGCAGGTTTGGGCCCAAGTCTGCCTGCCTTCCATAGTATGCACAGAGAGATACAGTGGGGAAGGTAATATCTATTATTAGACCAACTTGTGTTGGTGAAAGAGACGTTTTTGAGCTTACACAGAGCTCTTCTTCAGGTCTGGGAAACGTATTCAGGCCTGGTCTATGGGATCAAGTCACATCTAGTGGCTGCAGTTGGCAGAGGATGTAGCTTTAATGGTACCACACAAATGGGAATGTTCACAGGTTGTCACAAGTTAAAGTGAAAACACTGGCCCAATTAAATAACATTTAACCATTTAAAAACAAATACAGCATACCTTTCAGAGCCTCGTTGATGTACAGCCTGAAATAATCCATTCTCTTCGTGTCATTAATAACATCCCCTCCATCTTCTGTGGGCACACCATTCCCTGCTATGTAAATTGGGATCCTAGTCCCTGTATATTCCTGGGAAACAAACTTCAACAGCCTTCTCAGCCCCCAAGGGACCACTCTGATCCAAGATGAGGCAGTCTGTGGCCAAGAAGGATCAACATGTTGGGAAAAGTTCACAACATTCTCATAGGCTGGAATACAGGTGTCATTAACCGCAGTGCTGATCAGTCTGGAAGTGTAATGAGAAAGACCAAAGAAATCTGCAGTTCCTTTCACTATGGACTTCTCTTCCTCACTAAATGAAGGGAGGATGGCAACTGGGATAGAGCACTGCTGGTTCTTCTGTTGGATCTGGGACTTCAGGATATCTGGATAGTCTCCATTAACAAATATAGGGTGAGCAAACCAGCCTAGCATGAAATGCATGTAGCGCTCAGCTGCCTTCACATCCTCAGAACTTGTTGGGGTCTTGGGTTCAGCCCAATCTGAATTCAACACAATTCCCACCTTACCATGCTGTTGGGAACGATATCGGTCATCATATAAGTGCCAGGCTTTTGCATGCGCCTTAATAATTGAGTGAGCCACCTTGGGAGAGAAGAAGGAGGGAAGCGTGTCACAGCACTGCACACGGGTTTGGAGCCAGCCGTTTAAGAACTTTTAGACATGAAGATTAAGTACATATAAAAATTAAACATTCCTACCCAACATAAAACCCCAGTCAAGTTCATAGAAAGTGCTACAAAAAACTAGTTTGAATCAAATGAGGAAAGAAACCTCTCCTGCCACCTTAGCCGCAAATGCAGATTCAAGCTTTGAGGTTTGAAGAAGTTCAGTCAACTTATTTCATAGCTGTGACAAGCAATGTTAAGAAGCTGCCACATTCCAACCCAGATACACCTTCAATTCAGTTGCAAGTGGAGTCTTCTCTCTATGTACAGGCCATTGCACAAACACATGGCAGGATATAGTACCTGTCCTGAATGTCTCACAATCTAAGGTTGGGTTTTTCAAATCGCACTTCCATTGAAATCCAACTTCTTTTGGCCTCTTTGAAAATCCCAGCCTAAAATGATGAGTGATGTGGCTTTGGGAGGAGAGGGATACAATCAAATACATTCATTCTCTTTGTTTTGCTACAATTAAGTATTAACCCTTTATTTACCCATCAATCTAGCCCTTGCTAATTAGTGGATTTCTTATAAGTGTTGCAGTACGGATATGTCTTGAGAGCGCACTGGCCTTACATACAGATCATTTGAGATTTCTCCACCACCAGGACACAGAATCAACACAAACAGAATGTTATCAAAGAAAAAGCACAACTATAATAGCCCCAAGAATGCAAGCTCCTCTTTGTGGGTACCTTATAAGATGCTACTCCTGGATCAGTGATTCCCGGGGGATGCTGTCCAGTGCCATAGCCAGCGTAGCTAATGACCCAAGGTTCATGGAAGGTAATCCAAAATTTAACCCGATCCCCAAAGGTGGCAAAGCAGAAGTCTGCATAGTCTGCAAAAGTATCAATAATGCTTTCATTCTGCCATCCACCGAGATCTTGCAGTGTTTGTGGGAGGTCCCAGTGGAACAAGGTCACCATGGGCTCAATATTAGATTCCAGTAAGCGGTTTATCAATTTATTGTAGTAATTTACACCTTGGGGGCTGAAGCTGTTTCTAATGCCAGTGGGAAAAATCCTGGCCCAGGATATAGAAAACTTATACAGCTTCGACTGAAGACCCCTGAGCAGGTAAACATCATAGTCAATTTTGTGATAACTGTCACACGCCACATTTGCGGTCTGATTCATGTGGACATGACCTTGCTGCCCAAACCAGTCCCAAATACTCTCTCCTTTTCCATCCTCGGCCCAGCCTCCTTCAACGTTAAAGGAACCAGTGGATGTGCCCCAGAGGAAACCACTTGGGAAAACATCATGCACAAAAGTGTCTCTCTCCAATTCAGACTGGTTAGCAAAAGTTTCCCAAACTGTTTGATAGGAGGAGAGAGGAGCAAGAGCAGCAGCCGGGCCCTCTTGTAGTCTTTTTTGGATAGTCGTATTAGCTATATGGGGACTAGGGATTTAAGGGGGAAAAAAAAAGAAAAAAAAAGTTAAAATATAGTCACGATTGGTGGCATTATTACAGATTGCAGACTATAAAGCTAATAAATAGTCATTCATTTCTTTTTCAGCTCCAACGTACTAGCTACATTGTGGTGTTTTAATGCTCTAATCAATCCAATGGTCAATTGTCTGTCAGTTCTGGTGTACAATTGACTAACTCTGCAAACTTGCACAGGAGACATTTCTAAGCCAACATTTTGGGTGTGTATGGCATGTTTGACTACACCTGAGTCAAAGATGAAGACAAAACCCTTGTGGCGTATATTGACTCCATGAGCACGGCACTCACTAAACTATGTAGATCATGAAACCCACAAGGGCTAAATTTTTAATGTAAGGCACTTACTGTAATGAATGATGCTAGTGCAGTTCTCAAAGCCCCCCTGTACAGAGCCAGCTACTATACACACTTGTGTATAATCCAACTAGCCTCACATGAATGGCAATGCCTTTTTGAAGATGTTTTATTGTAAAATGTAGCGATGGGGTCAGGTTCTACAGGAGTACAAGATACTCTGCTGGTTCTGATGCAATCTCGACATATGAGGAAGAAAGAAATGCAGAGCATTTCTAGTTAAAAAGAAATTGCATTTAAAAATGATTTGACATAGCATGTTTACTGAAGGACACTATCTGTCTAGCATACTGTCTTCTACAGGACATGAGAGTTTACAAGACTTCACTTAAGGAACAAAAACTGTGTACCTAATTTTATGAACTGATGAGTAGTTTAAGAATTCATTAACATCATATCCCATTGTCAAGACCTTGTATTGATTAATTGCTGAAAAAGACAAGAAGAGAAACACACAACTCAGTTGCAAGAAAACATGTGACTTCTGATATTAGCCAGTTCAGTTCCCCGTGATATGTACCTGATAAACGCTTGGGTATGTATAGATTTGTCTAAGTGCTAACTAGCTACAAGAAAAGCCTCTCCCCTAGCTACTTTGTACTGTTATCCCATTCTCATTTTTGCACCTTCTTTTATTCTCACCTTTTACCTTAACAGTAAAACTAGTGATGGCTTGTGGCTTTATGGTAAGCACTCAAGTTTATGGTAAGGATAACACTTTCAGTCAGGCAATTTCAGGATTGCATTGGGAGAGTGAGAATAGTGATCTTTGTTTTGTACAATTTTGGTAAAATAACAGCAGTTACATCCCCCTCTCATTCATCCCTCCTCCCACACCGTGGCAGTTTTAACAAAACTCAGGTTGATGCATGTGCAACTCAGCCAAATGACCGTTGGCACAGCCCTCCAGGCTGGCAGTTAGTCAGGTACGTGGGAGAGGTTCTGGAGAAGTAATGCTCTGTCTGTGAAGGGGCACAGGCTGGCAATTAATCAGGGAAGTGGTGGGGGTGGAAGGTTCTAGATTCTACTGGCAGGCAGCTTACCAAGCTGCTCCATTTTCCAGGCAGCTCTAAGAAACCTTAAACCGATGACTTGTGGGAGCGTGTGTTGTGCTGGGAGATTTGTACGAGTGACGAATGAGGGATGTGTCAAAGCCTGGGATTTAAGAAAATGACTACACATTACATCAGGAGAAATTATGATATACATAAGCTCATGGTTTAAAATCCAGTCTTTTAAAAACTGCCTCTCCCAATACTACCTGCTTGGGAAGATTATATTCAGAGTCCCCGAAACATTAGCTTTATAGTTTAGATCGGATGCTCAACCGAA